GAACAGCTTCGTCATTCAAACTGACCAAGGCTCCAACTTCACCTCAAAGCTGTTTGCTTGAGTTGGGGGTTTCTCATCAGATGTCTAGCGCCTCTCACCGCAAGGGGTGTTAGAACATTTTCAATAGGCTCTCAAGTCCATGCTCCGTACATACTGTGGGAGTACAGGAAAAGACTGGGTAGAAGGTCTGCCTTTGCTGCTGTTTGCTGTCCGAGAAACTGTCCAGGAATCATTAGGGTTCAGTCCGTCTGAACTTGTGTTTGGTCACACAGTTCGCGGACCCCTAAAACTCCTTCAAGAACAGCTTATATCAAAAACTCCACTTGGCACCAACCTGTTAGACCATGTCAGTAACTTCCGTGAACGACTGCATCGTGCCTGTGACATTGCTAAAGATCATCTTGTGCGTACTCAGTCTAAAATGAAGGCGAGATTTGACAGAAGGTCTGTTAAACGCACTTCCCGCCTGGTGATCAAGTGTTTGTTTTACTCCCCGTTCCGTTCTCAGCACTGCATGCTAGATTTGCTGGCTCCTACAGTGTCGAGAAAAAGTTGAGTGAGACTGATTATGTAATTTCTACTCCAGATCGCAGGAGAAAGAACAGAGTTTGTCACATTAATATGTTGAAGTCGTATGTGAGTAAAAGTGAAACAGAAGTTCCTTTAAACAAGGAAGCTGAGCCAGCTGAACCTGCTGTGGTGGTGCCTGCTGCTCTCTGCTCCTCAGATGATCCAGATGTGGGTGAATTAATGCCTGAACATTTTCAAAATTCAACCGTATTAAATCAACTTGATGATTACCTTGCATACTTGCCTCAAGATCAGAAGGAATCTCTTGTCCAGCTGTTTAATAAGTACCCCATGCTCTTTTCTGATGTTCCTGGCAGAACCTCTGTGATCACTCATGACATAGCCGTAGGTAACTGTTCCCCCATAAAGCAACACCCATACCGTGTTAATCCTCAAAAACGAGAAAAATAATATTCGTCTGAAAGAAGGAAGTCATATACTTCTAGGATGGCTTGAGGGTGAGTAAATAATGGGCTAATTTTCATTTTTGGGTGAACTATCCATGTATAAGTCATGATCACGAGGAAACAACCTTCGTTATGTCGAGATCACAAGAAAACAAGAAAGAAAAAGATATTAATAATCCATGGCCTCTTAGGACTTCCATAGATATCCCTTTGCTAAAGGAGTAAAACTTCATTAAAAAGAGCTGGAGTTGTACTGAATTTTTTTGAATGAAAAAGCAATAATGTTCAAGCATCCTGTGACCCTTGAACTTACCCCATCAGGACATTACTGTGTGAACCTACTGCATAAAGACCTGTCATGTGACACTGAAAAGTGTAATGAAGATGAACTTTTGACAGTGACGGAGAACATGACTACAAAAGAAAAAAAGAGAGCCCTATTGAAACTGCATAAACAGTTTGGACGTGCCTCTGTGGAAAGACTGAAAAGCTGCTGACCTCTTCAGGTAATTATGATAAGAAATGCACCATAATATTAAAGGACATGGTGGACGGCTGTGAAACGTGTTGGATTCAGCAGACCCAAACCGTAAAACTTCATTAAAAAGAGCTGGAGTTGTACTGAATTTTTTTGAATGAAAAGGCAATAATGTTCAAGCATCATGTGACCCTTGAACTTACCCCATCAGGACATTACTGTGTGAACCTACTGCATAAAGACCTGTCATGTGACGCTGAAAAGTGTAATGAAGATGAACTTTTGACAGTGACGGAGAACATGACTACAAAAGAAAAAAAGAGAGCCCTATTGAAACTGCATAAACAGTTTGGACGTACCTCTGTGGAAAGACTGAAAAGCTGCTGACCTCTTCAGGTAATTATGATGAGAAATGCACCATAATATTAAAGGACATAGTGGACGGCTGTGAAACGTGTTGGATTCAGCAGACCCAAACGTGCTGTGGGGCTGCTTTTGGCCTCAAGTTACAATGAAACAGTGGCTGTGGACCTGCATGAACTGGAAGCAGGAGTATGGTATCATGTCACTGACAATTTCACACGGTTTACTACTGGAAGCATTGTGGCCACAAAAAAGGCAAGTGAAATTGTGAACATTCATTGCTGGATCAGCATACATGGTCCACCTAAAAGAATGTTTAGTGACAATGGTGGAGAGTTTAACAATGAGGAAATGAGGGACATAGCAGAAATGTTCAACATTGAGGTAAAGACCACAGCAGCATATAGTCCCTGGAGTAATGGTCTTTTAGAAACACAAAATCAGACCCTCACAGAAATACTGCTGAATGTTAAAAAAGACAATAGACTGGAAAACTGCTCTAGATTGGGCACCGATGGCAAAAATTCCATGCCACCCCTATTAGCTTGTGTTTGGACAAAATCCAAATCTGCCATCAGTCCTTACTGATAAACCACCAGCTTTTGAAGGTACCAGTGTGAGTGCATGGGTAGGACAGCACATTTCAGCTCAAGAAGAGCATTTACAGAGGTTGAATGCTCTGAAACAATTTAAAGAGCCTTACGCAGACAATTGCCGCCAACAGAAGAGTGATACGAGACCGGGAACAAAGTGTACCACAAGCTCCTCCAGAAGCGCAGTGCAATAGAACCATGTGGAAGTTGAACAAATGTGTGTATGGTTTGGCAGATGCTTCTCTGTACTGTTACAGCAAGGTCAAGGATACTATGCAGCAGCTAGGAGGCCATGTGTCAAAGATTGACCCTGCTGTGTTCTACTGGCTGGATGACAGTGGGGAGTTAACTGGAGTTCTTGCTTTTCACGTTGATTACTTTTTTTTATGGGGAGGTTCTAAAACGTTTTCCTCCTTGGCCATCCCACATTTGAAAGCTGCTTTTAAAGGGGTCATCGGATGCGACATGCACTTTTACAAGCTGTTTGAACTGAAATGTGTGTTGGCAGTGTCTTCTACACAACCTCCCTATAATGATAAAGATCCACCCAGTGATTTCTTTTTTTTTTTTTTGTCTTGTTAAAAATAATTTCCTCTTTCTCAAATCAAGCGGTTCTAAGATGCCTGTCTGTGTGACGTCACACAGACAGGCCCCTGCCACGATTGTTTGATTGACAGTAGCGTTTCAGCACAGACTGGACTGGTGTCTTACCATAGACCCGCCATTGTTTCACCGCCGGAGCAGATGTAGACAAGAATGACTCCTAAGCGATCGAGGTGTTCTGTTGTTGGATGTAATAATGACAGTAAATGACGACATAGCAGTCGTCATTTACTCCCGACATCTGAGTCGCTGAAGACGCAGTGGATTACCTTTGTTTTCTGAAGGGAATGCGCCCCCGATCTACCTAAATGCGTCTATGTTTGCACGAATCATTCGTGATCCAGCTTTACCTCCAGAAGAAGTGAGTGTAAGGCTTTTTTAATGAATCTTTGCAAATCGCAATCGCAAGTTTTACGATGAATGCGGCTAAAGTTTACCATCTCTCAGAGAGCATCTCGGAAGAGAGGGGCGGGGTTAGCAGAACTCATTTGCATTTAAGCAGAATGCAATAAAATGGTGTGCTGTAGACAGCTGTTTTTGAAAGGGTAAAAATGGTGTTGTTTTACACTACCATTTAGAAATTTTAACCAAACTATGTTAGACTTTTCATTAAGACCCTAAAGAATCCTATCAACTTGTGGAAAATGGGCATCCGATGACCCCTTTAAAGTTTGATGTGAAGAGCACAACTGTTTCAGTTACGTAGGAATGGAGATCTCTTCTGGAAATGGTGTGACACATGTACATAAAAGCGAATGTATAAAAAGTATGCAGCCCATTGTTATAGATCCAGCCAGAGCTGTGCAACGTGAGGCTACATTGATGGACTGGGAGACTGACATGCTGAGCTCTAAAATTAGCCAAATCTTGTGGGTTGCAAGACAGAACAAACTGGATGTAATGTTTGGCACATCTATCCTTGCTTCTACTACAAAACATTGCTACTGTCAAGACTTTGCATTATGGCTGGGCGGTATATCGAGTTTGTACGATATATCGATATTTTCTTTATAAGCGATTTGATATGAGGCAATATCGATATACAGTAGTTTGATACGAACGCATTTGAAAATATAGCGGAGGACACAAACTGATCTGCTGCGGAGAAAGTGCATAATCCAATTTTGTTCTAAACATGTGACAAGCTTCATATTAAGCCCTTTAAATACTGGTAAGACAGTTTATAGTTTGGTTTTGCATATTAGTTTAAGCGGCTCGGACATATGCTCTGACAGAAAGGCTGCATGTGCTGCTGACAGAGACACTAGGCTACTCGTGCGGTTTAATGTGTTTGAGATGTGTGGTCTTCCTGAATGCATGACTTACATTTCACAGGTACACTCTTAAAGATAAAGGTGCTTCAAAAGGTTCTTCAAGCGATGCCATAGAACCATTTTTTTGTGAAAACACAGGTTTTTTTTATGGAACCATTTAGACCAAAAGATTATTCTATGGCATCGTGAAGCACCTTTATTTTTAAGAGTGTATATTCTCCATACTTCCAGGCTACGTGGGGATTGGAGCTGTTTCACACATGCTTCAGACATCGGTCCTGATGGCGGCAGTCCTATAGTGTCTGCTAAAGGGTGCAACATCTCGTTCCCTCTCGGGGAACCATGGTTACATGTGTAACCGGAGACGCTTTTGAGCATGTTAAGGACACCAAAATGCTCAGAAACCTTGAAAAAATAAATAAAAAAAATAATAATAATACTTAGTATTATTAGAAGTATGGGGCCCAATATATTAACGAAAACTGGTATATCAGTGATACTAGAATAACACCGGTATGAATAAACACTTTTGTCTCTTCAATACCTTTGTCTCCCACAATAATTTGTCTTTTTGGAAAAAGTCTCGCAAATGAAGATATGTGACTAATTGTGGTTAGTTCTAATTTATTAATACGCTTATTTTGTAATTAACTGTGTAATGTGTAATCAATTATCTTTACAACCCTGATAATTTTGTCTCCTTTTCCAACAGGTACCTCTCAAAGAAGCAGAATCAATGACATCTTCAGCACTGAGGAGAAGCTGCTGCCTAGAACGATCTGGTGCTGGAAAACAACTGCTGAGCCAAAGATCAGCTTCTCTGTATCTTGGGTTGTTCATCTTGCATCTCTTTATAGTGAGGACATTACTGCAGGACAAATGTGATTCTAGCACTTGTATTCCTCAGAACACTGTTTACCTCAACAGGTCAATGAATGCATTCAACAAATAATAGCATTGACTACATTTAAAGCATGACGCTTCTCTTACCTCACTTCCTGCCTGACACATTCTTATTCATATGATGAATGTCAACTTTTATTAGGTGGTAACTTGAAAATTGTTAACATCTGATTGAAAGAGCATATGATGCATATGTAATTTAGTTTTTTGCAAAATATTAGTCCAGGGAGAGAATGGTGTGTGTGTGTGTGTATGTGTATAATCTCATAGAATTTCAAGGTGTAATTGATCCATGTCTTCAATAATTCTGTCTGAATGGCTCTAAATTCCAAAAAGATATAATTTCAGACAACAGAAAAGAGGTTTATAGGTGAGCAGGCAATTTGCATATTTATCAGCTGATAAAAACAGTTCTCCAAATGAACAATAATGAACATTTGTCATGTTTACATCCACTGTTTTAAAATACAAATCTAATGTTAAATGGTTAGTGTGATGTATGTTTTTTGTTCACTAGAGCAGTCACTTTATTCTAGGGAGATTAAGTCAAACCAAATATCCTGACAGTTGTTTATTATTATTAATTCATTTATTATTTATCTACCAGGTCATAGCATTGAAGCTTGGAAATATTTCTCCCACATCAGTTTTTGCAAGTATGTGTTAAGTAATCAAGGAAAGTACATAACTTAAGTAAACAGTATTGCATTTTGTCAAATTTTCTCAGTTGCTTTGGTGCATTTCTTAAATCAGTTTGCACAAACAACACCACAGAATGATTGCTTTCTCAAAACCCTTAGATCATCTATCAAAAATAACTTCATGTCAGTGAACATATCAGTGCCATCAGAATAAGTCGGTGTTTCATTGTTCACAATCAAGATAAAAAATTCTAAGCTGTGTTGTCAATCTAACCATCACTGTCAGTACTTCCTGATGTAAACTATGATTTTAATACAAAAAAAAGGCTGCACTTTTTCTGTATGGCATATATCAATTTTAAAAGTACACATTACTGTATGAGCAATATTGATTCCAAAATACTAGACAGGATTCACAGTGCTTTTACAGGTGGTCTGATAACAAATTACAGTACACTGGCATTGAAATACAAAAAAAGACAGTCCAAACCATGTATATGAAACATTACATTAAGTGTACAGTATTACAGTACAGTGCACATTGTTAAAAATACCTGTTCTGTCTACAAAATGCTTTAATGATTGAGAATGCTGTTGTCCTCCCAATATTTGGCTCCACCTTTTGACCCACCTTAGCCATTGTAAGGTCATGACTGATAACATGGTCCACAATAGTGGGCCTTACTTCACTGGAAATGTGCCAATGTCCTTGGCCTCTTCCTCTGTTTTTCCTCCCTACTCTTCTGCCATTCATCCTTACTCCTGTTCTTGTTCCCTATCTGTTGACCCTGTTTGTTTGCTAGTTCTTCAGTTGTCAGAAATTGTAACACTGTGGCATCTCTGGAGAGACCTAAAAATGGCTGTCCACCAACGTTTACCATCCAACCTGACAGAACTGGAGAGGATCCCCAGATCCAGGTGTGAAAAACTTGTTGCATCTTTCCCAAAAAGACTCATGGCTGTATTAGATCAAAAGGGTGCTTCTACTAAATACTGAGAAAAGGTCTGAATACTTAGGACCATGTGATATTTCAGTTTTTCTTTTTTAATAAATCTGCAAAAATGTCAACAATTCTGTGTTTTTCTGTCAATATGGGGTGTGTACATTGAGGGAAAAAAAATTAACTTAAATGAATTTAGCAAATGGCTGCAATATAACAAAGAGTGAACAATTTAAGGGGGTCTGAATACTTTCCGTACCCACTGTATGTCTACATGTGCTCGCCAATTGAAGGTTTGTGAGATTATTGGTGGATCTAACACTTCACATTTCCCTTCATTAGTGAAATTTAAGATTTACCTGAGATTCATTAATTCCGGACACATTTACAAAAAAAAAGAAACTAAATGTTTTGTAGGGGGTAAGATGATTCAACAGAGAACCAATATAATATATTTTGATCAACATGACATAAGTACGGTGGCCGAGAAGTGCAAAGCAGATCACAATTCTGAAAACAAAATAACAATTCAGAAAGCACAACAACAATTTAGAAAACATAAGTCAGAAAACACAATGACAAATCAGACAAACCGGAAAAGGTAGGTATTCATGGGTTTCAGTCACGTGACTTTTTTGTTGCGGCCGCCATCTTTAGGACCTTGCTTAGCCTCTCTTTGGTGATCAGAAACCAAAATAACACTTAAACAACAACGGAAAACAATGGTATTAAAAAAAAATAAGACACTTTAGGATTAGATCCTTATTTACGGTCAAGCGAACTGCTGACTCCACTAAAGTCTAGTGAAAACTTACCAATTTGACGTCTGCTGGCTATTTACCTCTACCTCATACACAATCCCTCTCCGTACTCTCGGGCCATTTTCAGTTAAATTTTCACCTGTTAGATACTTGTCCATCGGCCCGGATCCATCTGCAGCACCCGGCCTGGATACTTGCGTACTCCCTTTCAGATTCTGGGCTGAATCAACCGGACCAGATGCGACAGCTGTAACTTGCCGACACTATCGCATCCAAGCCGGACTCTACTGTACTGTTCATTAATATTTAATTTAAAATTAATAACGTTACCTAGACAAAACATTTACTTTCATTTTAATTATATAGATTATAATACATAAATAACATCACTTAACAAATCTATAAACATCTCATTATTACGAAAGCAATTTTAAAGTCCATTAAATAACTAGCTTGATCAAGCTGGCATGAGGAAAATTTATTTACAACACCATGCAATTACAGCAAAAAAGCAGCAGTTAAACATCAAGTTTAGATAAAATATTTAACACATTTTGCAAAATTACCCATGCATTTACTTGAATGAATGAGGCATTTATATGTACACTTGGACTGTAACATTTAATAAATAAAGGTTAAAACATTACAAATTTAAAAGGTGTTTTGAGAAACACATTGGTAAATGGCAAAGTTTTGGAATTAAAGATTTTGTACTTGGTAAAATAATTTTAATAATTATTACCTAACTGTTATTATGAATCATTTTTAAAGGTAATCAGTTAATACTGTTCTTGGTTGTTGCTCATTGTGCAGCATGTCTTTCCACATCTTAGTCCAGTGAGTACTTTGCTTGGGAGCTTTCATTTCTGCACCTGTAAAGAACAAATAATGCACAAGTATCTATTACTAAAGGTTTAACTGAATGCACCAAACTGAATTAAAGTAAATGTATATATATTGTATCAAAGCTTGTTTGAAAGACTATATTTACTTATTATTTACCCACTTAATTCTAGCACATTAAGTGGCTGTGTCCAGTATGATTAAAATTTAAAGTGTTTATCATCCTAATTAAAGAGATAGTTTACCCAAACATGAAAATCATTTACTTCCTTTATGTCGTCTACACGTGAGAAACCTGTTGGTTTTGATTACCAGCATTCTTCAAAGTATCTTCTTTTGAGTTCTGCAGAAAAACAAAAGTCAGGGGTTTGAAAAAAATGAGGGGGGATTGATGTAATAATGTAAATGATTACAGAATTCTGGGTTAACTATACTTAAGTAAATTAGTAGAAACACTTTTCACTAGTCATCACTGTGCAGAAAAATAACAGTGAATGCCACAATAAAATGCTTGAAAATTACACATTCAATAGATCCATAGCTTGGTCAGTTTGTCTCCTCAGTTAAGATTCCCCCCAATTGTTGCAGAAAACATTATATTACATAGTATAATCGTGGTCAGTGCAGACATGTACTTGAACTTACTTTCTCATGGACTCTAACTGCTCCTTGCTCGTCCAGTCAGAGAAGTATAATAAAGATGAAGTCTACTGTCTGACTCCAAGCACTGCTCGGTGTTCACAGGTGTCTGAGGAACTTCTGCCATTTCTTCTGCGATGACACTTCTCTTAGTTACTACAAAACATTGTTAAAAGACATTTGTGGCACATTTAAGATAAATATTCAGTTATTCCTGTATGTTTCTACATGCTAAGTGAAGAAGCAACTAAAGTAGCAATAAAAACTGTTATTCTGTTTTGTTGTAGTCAGCTACATGTGTTTTGATATTGGTGAGCACCTGAACATATAAGTCTGCTTACATTTAGCAACTGTAAAAGCAGGGCACAGCTACTGCAAATGATCTCAGACATATTGATGCATATACACTTGATTGCAGCAGTACATTGCCATGGTAAGAATCACTGCAACTAGCTTATTTAGTTAAATGAGATTATTTGAAAATAACGTTCTTCTTCAGAATTATAATAGTAATAGTACAAACAGGTCCTCTTCACTCTAACATCCTTGAAGTAATTACATTCAGTTACATTCATAAAAATAAGAATGTGGAAACTAAAACAAACCTTTCTCCTTGTGTGCGCTGGACCGTCATCATCCTCCTCTTCTTCATCTGTTTGTTTGCGGGTCTGAGTGTTGTTCGTCAAAGTTTAGTGCAGTGTAAACATTCTAGACTCACATAACTGTAGTTAGATCAAAGATCAAAAACATCTCGTTGATTTATTAGCTTTAGGTGGAGCATAACGAAAGTTCTGGCAAATCAGCAGTCTCGCACGCGAATTTAACCTTTTGCAAGTTTCATTATTAAATTGCTAACTAAAATGTAAACACGCATCTATGCTTATACGATAAATATTTAATCAAAAGAATCCCATACATCCACATATCTTGGTAAATAATCCATTGTGATTTGCTGTTATCACAGCCCAGAGTAGGGATGGGCGGATCGATCCTTAAGTATCGATACTTTCGATACCGATGTTGTATCGAAAGGATCGATCCTCACATAAAAATATCGATTCTGAAGTGCATTATTTTAAACAATAATTTTATTTACTTATCAAGAAATTCGGTGCATAAAATAATCTTCAAAGTGGAAAAATAGACTATATTAGCGAATAATTGTGTTGGATAGAACAATTTCTCCAGCTCATCGGTATGGAACGATATTCCGGACAATTTTCAAATAGAATAGCA